CAAGTACTTGAACTATCCTCCACTGCCTTCTGGGAGCATTAGCAGAGAGTTGGATTGGAAGTTGACCAGCTGAGACTCAAACCAGTGCTTCAGTATAGGATGCTGGTGGTGTAGGCAGTCTTAATCTGCTGTGCCAGCACACAGGCCCCACTAGCATTTTTCTGGATTACCTTGTTGACAGTGTTATTCTCAAGTTAGAATGAATAAAAGGCCTATTAGGAGTCTTCTTGGTGAACCCAGACTTTGAAGTGCACTATAAAAATTTGTAGCCCATGTTTTATTTAAAAACTTGATCTCACTGACAATCTACTAGACAGTGAAAGGTTTCAGATTTGGATTCTAGAAATGTCCACTGCTAATTGTGTAATCACCATGACTTAATACCTTCTTTGCCAGAGTGCTTGCTTTTGAAAGGGCAAAGAACATAAGGTGTATTTTCATTCATTCAGTTATTTATTGAGCTCCTATGAGGTGTTACTTTCTATCATAATAGTAGTGATAAAAGTTATTATGTGTTAACAATAAATACTATCCTTGGTGCTAGATGTGCAATTATGTACTATACAGGCCTGGAGCTTTCCCTGGTGGAATATTAGACACATAAATGCCATGATTATTGTTTGAATTATGTGAAAGGTACAATTTAGCATCAGTTCTTTTTTAAAAAAATATTTTATTTGAGAGAGAGATTTATGGACAGAGAAAGAGAGAGAGAGAAAGGTCTTCCATCTGCTGGTTCATTCCCCAGATGGCCACAATGACCAGAGCTGGGCCAATCCGAAGCCAGGTGCTTCTTCTGGGTCTCTGACGTGAGTGCAGGGGCCCAAGTCCTTGGGCCATCCTTTACTGCTTTTCCAGGCCATAGCAGAGAGCTAGATCGGAAGAGGAATAGCTATGACTTAAACTGGTACCCATATGGGAAGCCAGCGCCACAGCCAGAAGCTTAGCCCGCTGTGCCACAGTGCCTAGCATCAGTCATTTTTTTTTGTTTTTATTTTTTTTTTTTTTCGACAGGCAGAGTGGGACAAAGGAGGAGAGAGACACATAGAGAAAAGGTCCTTCCTTTGCCGTTGGTTTCACCCTCCCAATGGCCCGCCGTGGGCGATGCGCTATTGCCCGGCCCCCCCGCACTGATCCGATGGCAGGAGCCAGGTGCTTTCTCCTTGGTCTTCCATGGGGTACAGGGCCCAAGCACTTGGGCCATCCCTCCACCTGCACTTCCCTGGCCACAGCAGAGGGCTGGCCTGGAAAGAGGGGCAACCGGGACAGAATCCGGCCCCCCCGACAGGGACTAGAACCTGGTGTGCCGGCGCCGCAAGGCGGAGGATTAGCCTAGTGAGCCGCGGCGTCAGCCAGCATCAGTTCTTAAAGATCAAATAATTTTGTTCTGTCTGAGCTGTAAGACTTTCTGTGTTTGGGAGGTTTGCAAAGCAGTTAGTCTGTCCATTCTGCCCCTGCATGATTAAGAGTCACGGTGTTTGGCCTGAAGCCAAACTATGTGACTTCATAGTTACTTCATAGTTAAACCTGAATTCTTTATTATATTTAATACTAATATACTTAAAAGGTTTGGATAGAATCCCACAGTATTTAAAAATGGCTTAACCCATTGTGTCCTTTATTCCTTTTAAAAGGCCACTTTTAAAGATTTAAATTGAACAATTATGTGTCATGGTAATTTTGATATACATATTATGTTGAAATATTCGCAGAATTGAAAACTTCAGACTTAATAAGCTTGGCTTCCTCCTTTCTAGATAGTTCAACAGTTTGAATTTTCTTGGTCCTGTCATTTGGGGCACGTCTGAAATTAGACAGATATGATTAAAAGAGATCCACCCACTGCATTCCTGGCATACAAATCAGCTGTTAGACTGTGGGGCTGTTAATTTTCTGGCTTTTTAATGATTTGTACAATTGAGAGCCAATTTTAAATATTTTAAAAGATTTTTTTTATTTATTTGAAAGGCAGAGCAGTGAGAGTGGGGGGTAGAGAGAGAGAGATCTTCTGTCTGCTGGTTCACTCAGAAATGACTGCAGTAGTCAGGTCCAGGCCAGACCAAAGCCAGGAGCCCAGAATTCCATCCTGGTCTCCCACTGTGGATGCCAGGGGCCCAGCCCAAGTACTTAGGAAGTCTTCCTCTGTCTTCCCAGGCAAATTAGCAGGGAGCTAGATTGGAAGTGGAACAACAGCTGGGACTGCAACCAGCACTCCCATGCAAGCAGTGGCTTAACCCGCTGCACTACAGCACAAACCCCTAAATATTAAATATTGACAAAAACTTCAATGCTTTGGGGGAAGAGATGGATGAAGACCTAAACGAGTTTTATAAATTGAAGCAGTGCCCCAAGATCCCAAGTGTCATACTTATCCAAATGCCTTTATCAAATATAGCTATCTTTATCAGCTGTTCTAACAAGCAACGTCTTCAAACTAACATTAAAGGATATGGTATTCTTTTTTTTAAAAAAATTAATTATTCACTTGAAAGATGGGGGGGGAGAGAGAGAGAGAGAAAGAGATAGAGAGAGAGAGAGAAAGAGAAAGAGAAAGAGAAAGAGAAAGAGAAAGAGAAAGAGAGAAACAGATCTTCCACCTGCTGGTTTACTCTCCAGGTAGCCTCAACAGCCAGGAGCCGGAAGCTTCTTCTGGATCTCCAAGTGAATGCAGGGACCCAAGGACTTGGGCCATCTTCTGTTGCTTTCCCAGGTGCATTAGCAGGCAGCTGGATCAGAAGTGGAGCAGCTGGGACTCCTGTGGGAAGCCAGAGCTGTAGATGATGACTTTACCCCCTATGCCACATGCTGGATCCAGCATTTTATTTTATTTTATTTTATTTTTATTTATTTATTTTTTTAGGCTTTAACATTTTTATTTAGGAAAAGATCAAGGCTGAAGCTATACTAATTCAACCTAAAACATCTCTTTTTTCCATAGCAGAGTCAGTCTATGCATTTTTTCCTTGCCTTTAAAAAACAAATTAAGCAGTAAGCATTTTATTTTTAAAGAAAAATATTCACTGCATTATTATCTATAATCATAACTCCTTTATAATAGAATATCAGAACTTCTTACTCCTATCTTATTTTGCATTAAAAAATGAAAAAATTTTAAAATTTTTTTCCAAAAAATATTTATTTTGTTTCTTTGAGAGACAAGGAGATCTTCTATCTACTCACTCCCCAAATGCCCACAACAGCTAAGGCTGAGCCAGGCTGATCTCAGTCCAGATCTCCAGTGTAGGGTTCAGGGCACCAGTACTCCTGCAGCCACCTGCTTGCCTCTCAGGTGCACGTTACATTAGCAGGGAGCAAGAATCTGGAGTGGAGCCAAAATGCCAACCCAGGCATCTCAACCACAGCTTTTGAACCATGCTTTGGAACTTCTAATTGTTTCATCTGTAAGCTAATAAAAGTATTTTTTTCAGTTAGGTTTTCTCTTTGTTAATTTATGTTTTGTTTTCTTTATCAAACAAAAGAAGCTATACTTTCTTCAGATACAACGTTTCAGGATTTATTTCAGAAAATCAAATAATGTTAAAAAACAGTGTCAAGCATTTCTCTTAATTTTTCTTACTCCCTCTTTTTTAGGTTTGGTGTTACTGTTCATTTGAAGTATATATAATTTATAAATTCTTCCTTTCTTTTTTTTTTTTTTTTTTTGACAGGCAGAATGGACAGTGAGAGAGAGAGACAGAGAGAAAGGTCTTCCTTTTGCCGTTGGTTCACCCTCCAATGGCCGCCGCGGCCAGTGCACTGCGGCCGGCGCAACTCGCTGATCCGATGGCAGGAGCCAGGAGCCAGGTGCTTTTCCTGGTCTCCCATGGGGTGCAGGGCCCAAGCACCTGGGCCATCCTCCACTGCACTCCCTGGCCACAGCAGAGGACTGGCCTGGAAGAGGGGCAACCGGGACAGAATCCGGCGCCCCGACCGGGACTAGAACCCGGTGTGCCGGTGCCGCTAGGCGGAGGATTAGCCTAGTGAGCCGTGGCGCCGGCCTCCTTTCTTTTTTAAAGATTTATTTGTTTGAAAGTCAGAGTTACAGAGAGGAAGTGACAGAGATCTTCCATCTGCTGGTTCACTCCCCACATGGCCACAGCAGCCAGGGCTGGGCCAGGCTGAAGCCAGGAGCTTCTTCTGGATCTCTCATGCAGGTGGCAGGGGCCTAAGCAGAACATTAAGCCACCGGCTGCAAAGCTGGCATCCCATAAGGGCATCGGTTCATGGCCTGGCTCCTCCACTTGAGATCCAGCTCCTTGCTCATGGCCTGGGAAAACAGCAGAGGATGATCCAAGTGGTTGGACCTTGGCCACTCATGTGGAAGACCTAAACGAAGCTCCTTTGCTCCTGGCTTTGGCCTGGCCCAGCCTTGGTTTTTGCGCCCATCTGGTGAATAAATCAGCGGGTGGAAGACCTGTCTCTTTCTCTTTCTGTCTCCCTCTCTGTTGACTAAATAAATATCTTTTAAAAAGATCAGACACTAAGCTCTAAGCAGGGCACACTTGTTTTCAACATAAATAATTCAGGGACCAACGTTGGGTCTATCAAGTTAAGCTATCGCCTATGACAATGCTGGCATCCCATACAGGCGCTGGTTTAAGTCCCGGCTGCTCCGCTTCCTATCCAGCTTCCTGCTTATACGCCTAGGAAAGCAGCATAAGATGGCCCAAGTCCTTGGCCTCTGCACACACATGGGAGACCCTGAGGAAGCTCCTGGCTCCTGCTTTGGTCTGGCCCAGCCCCAGTCATTGCAGACATTTGGGGAGTATACCCGCAGATGGAAGATCTCTCTCTGTCTCTCCTTCTCTCTCTGTAACTCAACCTTTCGAACAAATAAATAAATCTTAAAAGAAAAGAAGTGTGCTCTGCTTAGATCTTAGTGTTTCATTTGAGTGTTAGAGAATTCTCAAGGCTAGCTCTGCAAATCTCTGAGGATTAGATTATAAGTAGAAATCTTTTCTTCCTGAGATTGAAATAAACATTTTTAACTTCTCCTTCAGATCCATCACGTTACACAAAATGGAGGACTATACAAAAGGCCGTTTAATGAAGCTTTCGAAGAGACACCCATGCTGGTTGCGGTGCTCACATATGTGGGCTATGGTGTACTCACTCTCTTTGGATATCTTCGAGATTTCTTGAGACATTGGAGAATTGAAAAATGTCATCATGCAACAGAAAGAGAAGAACAGAAGGTAACTGTTGGAATCTTTAATTCTGTAAATGGAAGTCTTTTATAGAAATTCTAATGTTTTTACCCCAGATTTTTTTCTTATGTCCATGGAAATAGCCAGGCTCTGTGTAAAACTTAGTATTAGGTTTATTCAGGTCAGCATATGAGTGATTTATGCTTGGGAACCACAAACTCAATGACTTTATTTTTAAAGATTTATTTTATTTTGTCTTTTTTTTTTTGACAGGCAGAGTTAGTGAGAGAGAGAGAGACAGAGAGAAAGGTCTTCCTTTTTCCGTTGGTTCACCCCCCAAGTAGTTGCTATGGCCGGCACGTTGTGGCCGGCACGCTGCACCGATCCTAAGCCATGAGCCAGGTGCTTCCTCCTGGTCTCCCATGAGGGTGTAGGGCCCAAGGACCTAGGCCATCCTCCACTGCACTCCCAGGCCACAGCAGAGAGCTGGAATGGAAGAGGAGCAACTGGGACAGAATCCAGTGCCCTGACCGGGACTAGAACTTGGGGTGCCCGCGCCGCAGGCAGAGGATTAGCATAGTGAGCCGTGGCGCCGGCCTTATTTTATTTTGAAAGGGAGAGTTTTATATAGAGAGAGAGACAGAGAAAGAGGTCTTCCATCCACTGATTCACTCCCCAGATGACTGCAACAGCTAGGGCTGCGCCAGGCCGGAGCCAGGAGCTTCTTCCGGGTCTCCCACGTGAGTGCAGGATGGGCCATCTTCTGCTGCTTTCCCATACACATTAGCAGGGAGCTGGATCAGAAGTGGAGCATCTGGGACTCAAACCAGTGCCCATATGGGCTGGCACTGCAGACAGCGACTTAACCTTCTATGCCACAGTGCCAACCCCCCTGATGATTCTGTTAGTGGTAAGCAAGGTAACAAGGTTTAATGGGATGGGGCATCCATCAGAACAGATAGGCACCTCTCCAGATGGAATCCGAGACAGTACCCGGCCTTTCAGACTGGGGTGAGCAAGGTTACATAGTTTAATAGAAAACACACCTGACAGGCCAGGTGGGTATCTCAGCAAAGAACTGAGAGCTGAGGGCTGAAGCACGCCTGATAGAGAGGGCAGATGTCAAGAAAGTGCTGAGAGCCAAGCCCAGTGACTTTAAGGAATCTTGGACAGTGGTCAAAAGCAGTCTAATGCTGGTCAGCATGTGTGTATTCCATAACAGTAAATTTTTCATTTATCATTGCACAGTGAATATACATTGATTTTGCCCATAAGGTCTGCTTTAGCCAGCAAGAGCAACTTTTTCTTAGGTTAGAGATTCTTTTCTTTCTTTATTTTTTTAAAAAGATTTATTTTATTTATTTGAAAGACAGAGGTACAGAGAGAGGTAGATCCAGAGAGAAAGAGAGATCTTTCATCCTCTGGTTCACTCCCCAGTTAGCCACAGTGGCCAGAGCTGTGCCGATTCAAAGCAGGAGCCAGGAGTTTCTTCTGGGTCTCCCACACAGGTGCAAGGGCCCAAGGGCTTGAGCCATCTTCTACTGCTTTCCTAGGCCACAGCAGAGTGGGATCGGAAGAGAAGCAGCTGGGACTTGAACCGGCGCCCATATGGGTAGCTGGCACTGTAGGCCGGGGCTTTAACCTGCTGCACCACAGTGCCGGCCCCGAGATTATTTTCTTTAAAACATGGTTGGTTAAAAACATCTTCACAGATAGGGAGGGTATTGTTTCTGAAAAGAGGCTACTGAAAAGAAGTTACTATTAAAAAAAAAAAATATTTGTTTATTTATTTGAAAGTCAGAGTTATACAGAGAGAGAAGGAGAGGCAAAGAGAGAGAGAGAGAGAGAGGTCTTCCATCTGCTGGTTCACTCCCCAGTTGGCCGCAGTGGCTGGAGTTGGGCCGATCTGAAGCTGGGAGCCAGGAGCTTCTTCCAGGTCTCCCACACCGGTGCAGGGGCCCAAGCACTTGAGCCATCTTCTGCTTCCCAGGCCATAGCAGAGAGCTGGATCAGAAATGGAACAGCCAGGACTTGAAGTGGCACCCAAATGCGATGCACTCACTGCAGGCGGCGCTTTACCCACAGCGCCACCCCCAAGAAGTTATTAATTTTAAGAAAGACATTTCTGAGAGTAGATAAAGGATATGCAGGTAAAGAACAAAGGATTGCTCAAGGTTGCTCCAAATGGCTAAGACAAAAGACCCTATGTGCATATCACGCAAGTCAGATTGACCTTTTGGGTAAGATTCATGACTGTGTCTGGCCACCCCTCAGACAAGTCCCAGTAGCTGTTTCTCTTGAATGCTTCCAAGATTTTTTAGGGGTGGTTCTTAGAAATTTGGGTACATGTTTATTTATGGAATAAGAAGAGGGAGGAGAAAAGAGGGAAAGAGAGAAGGGAGATCTTCCATCCACTGATTCCTTCTCCAAATGCCCACAACAGCCAGAGCTGAGCCAGTCTGAAGCCAGGGGCCCAGAACTCTATCTCCGTCTTCCATGTGAGTGGCAGGAACTGTTATGGACATCGGGGTACCCGGCTGGGCTTGGAAAGACCCTCTGGCTGGACCTAGTCCAGGTTCTTGTCTATCTATGTATAGGAATACAGTTGGGAGATGTAGACATAAGCAGGATTTATTTAAAGGCAAAGTGATAGTTCACACTCAGACATGAGTGCAGGCAATCTCATGAGGGAGCGTTGTCCTAACCCAAGCTTACCCTTTTGTAGGATAAGGAGTGGTGCTTAGGGCATGGCTTGATTGAATGTTCAGAAGAGACTGGGTATAGGGGGTGCTGCTGTACACCTGGTAGTCTAGGAAGGTGTCACGGTGTCTGGTGCCTGCTGGAAAGTGGATGTGCCAAGCCTTTAGCCATGTTGAATGGACACAGAAGGTGACATGGTTTGGGCAGTGCGAGCCACTTGGGTGTTGGCAATCTTCTGTTCCTCCTTGCTCACCAGCTATCTGACTGCCCATATCAAAGCCAAGTACTTGGGCTGCTGTCTTCTGCTTCCCAGACAGATTAACAGGAAATTGGATCAGAAGCAGAGGCAGGATTTTGTCCCAGGCATTGCAGTATGGGATGTGGGCACCTTGAGCTGTGTCTTAACCCCCTGTGCTACAATGCCCGCCCTTGGGTATGTGTCACAATAAAAACATTCCAGATGCAGTGAAATGAAAACAATCCACAGGAAAACTGAAAACAAAGTTAAAGGCATGGAGAAATTAAATCATTTAACATATCTTAATTTAAATCACCATATGAACCTCGTAAGATAGACAGCACTATCTATTTCATGGATTAGAAAGCTAAAATTCTAAAGTACCTAGTGCCATCACTGGTATGTGGACAGAAGGCTGTGAATTTCCAAAATCCATGCTTTTCTGTTCACACTACCGTATTACATCCCAAGTTGTATTTACATTCTCCTGAAAAGCTTGTGTTCTGTAGAACTCGTGATGCGCTTTCTCATAGACCCAGTAGACCTAGTTATCTGGTTCACAGATCAGCTCCTCTGCCCAAACAAACAAGGCTAAAGCAGAGTGTGGTAGGCTGTTCTGTTTCTAATGGGGACTGTCAGTGGTAGGCAGAGATGGTCATGGTTTTCTCTGAGGAGGAAGCCCTTATTTACTCTACTCAACTTTTCTTTGTACATTATTTTGTGCTTTTAGAGTTGTTGTTTTTTTTTTTTTTTTTTTTTGTGGGGGAGTTGTAAAAGCTCTTTTATAAAGCCATTTAAAAAAAGTTTACAAAAGAAAAAAAACAGAAAGAATAACTTGCTTTAAAATGTCCTCAAGAGAGAAAAAAATAAAGGGGACAATTGTGCTTTTAGAGTTTTACACAATCTGCATGCATTATTCTAGTAATAAATAGACTTAGTGGGAGCCAATATTGTGACATACTGGTTAAGCCACTGCCTGTGATGCCAGTATCCCATATGGGCTCTGGTTCCAGATTCAGCTGCTCCACTTCTGATCCAGCTTCCTGCTAATGCACTTGGGCCCCTGCACCCTTGTGGGAGATCCAGATGTAGCTCCTAGCTCCTGGCTTTGGCCTGACCCATCCCTGGCCTTTGCGGCCATTTGGGGAGTAAACCAATGGATGGAAGATCTCTCTCTTTCTCTCTGTCTCTCTGTCTCTGTCACTGTCTCTCTCTCACTCTGCCTTTTAAATAAATAAATCTTTAATAAAAATTAGGGGGGCCAGCTCTGAGGCACAGTGGGTAAGGCCGTCACCTGCAGTGCTGGCATCCCATGTGGGCACCGGTTCAAGTCCTGGCTGCTCCACTTTCAAATAAGCTCCCTGATAATGCATCTGGGAAGCAGTAGAAGATGGCCCAAGTCCTTGGGCCCCTGCATCCACGTGGGAGACCCAGAAGAAACTCGTGGCTCCTGGCTTTGGATCGGTGCAGCTCTGGCCATTGCAGCTATCTGAGGAGTGAACCAGTGAATAGAAGACCCCCACTCCCCGCCTCTTCCTCTCTGTAATTCTGCCTTTCAACCAAATAAATAAATCTTTAAAAAAATCTGAAAAAACAACAACAACAACAACAAAATTAATGAGGAAGGCTTTTGGTCTAGCGTTAAGCCTGCAGTTAGGATGCCTGTGTCCCCTAACAGTGCTGGGAGTACCAGGGTTTGATCCTTGGTTCTTGATTCCAGCTTCTGGCTGATGCAGACTCTGGGACAAAGGAGTGGTGGCTCAAGGAATTAGTTCCTACCAGTAGGTTGATAGATTGAGTTCCTGGTTCACAACTTTGGCCCTCTCCCTACTATTTTGGATGTTTGGGGAGTAAACTAGCAAATGGGAGCTTTTCTCACTCTCTCAGTCTTTCTTCATCTCTCTGTCTTTTGTCTCAAAAATTTATTTAAAAAATTGATATTAAAAATGCCTAATTTTACTAAAAATAAACCTACTTGTTCTTGACATGGAATGTGGCGAGGTGGTCCTGCAGGTCAGGGAATTTGCCAGATGAGAGTTGGGCTTAAGACATTAACTTCATGCCCGGCATTGTGATATAGCAGGTTAAGCTGCTGCCTGTGGCTTCTCCA